AGTCTACTCAAATTGTATTTGAGTACAATTCTATTAATCTACATTTGAGAGAAAGTGTGTTTTCACATGTTACAAAGATTGAAATCTTCTGGTGTGTTTAAGTCTGATTTGGAATGTTTTGATTTGAACTGATCAGGTAATGTTATAAGTGTACTTTGCAACTGTCAAATTCTGATATGGTTTAATCCAATCTGGTTTGGTATGTTTTGTTCTGATATAAGCCCGATACCAATCCAATAAAAAATATCCTAATTATTATTTTAAAAAAAATCCCGAAAATAATGCTAAATAAAAAAAATATTTACCAAATTAGGGTCAGGTTAAAAGTATTTCCAAAAATAATGTTGAGCTAAACCATGATTAAGAAAACTGCCACTTGAAGTGGCGTCTTGCGCCGGGGGCACAGGGACGTAAACCGCGTAGAAGAATATGAGTCAATGATCGCACCAAAATAAAATCCCATTTTTTTAAGTGCTATAATTTTTTATTTGTACTCTGATTATTACAATGATATATCAAAATTCATAAGTTCTTATTATTTTTCAATTGACATCAATACTCAACATATGAAAATAAAAAAAGTAATTTAACATTTTAAAAAAATCTTTTTTTTTAAGTGATAGGATGTGACTTTTTTATTTGTAATCCGCTTGTTGCAAAATATATATATCAAAATTCATAACTCTTTATTATCTTTCATATGTCACCAATATTGAATATATATAAAAAATTCCACTTTAAGAGTTTTTCTAAAGTGCTATATTTTTTTGTTTGTACTACGATTGTTACAAAAGATATAGGGAAATTACCCTAAATTGGACTAAAAACGTCTGTATATTCCAAAATAGGACTGTCATGTTTTTTATTCCTAAAATAGGACTAATTACTGTCATATTTTGGCAGTACCAAATTTTAAACATGACAATATTTTTCAAACTTGACAGTAATTACTCCTATTTTGGGAGTAGAACATGACCGTCGTTTTTTTGAATTTGCAAACTTTTTTACTCCTATTTCGCAAATTTTCCCAAAAATATATCAAAATTCATCACTTTTTATTATATTTCATATTACGTATGATACTAATATTAAATATATAGAAATAAAATAATAATTTATGATTTTCAAAAACATCCAATGTTTATAAAAAATATATCAAAAATCATCAATTTTTATTGTCTTTCACATGACACCAATATTGTGTGTGTGTGTATATATATATATATATAATTTTTTTTTAATTTGTGCAGTTTATATATTTCTTTTTACCGCAAATCCAGAGTGACAACCTAGAATAAAACTGCACAAATTCTAATGCAAAGAATATAACAATAAATAAAAGTAGTGGAGTTTGTACAGTTTTATTCTAACTTCTAAGTTATCACTCTATTAATGGGGGAAATAATAAATATCTCAAGCTTTGAATGTGTGTGAGATGAATATATCAAACTTGCATATGCAATATATATAACCCAAACTCTATAAAAATTTATTTCTTCACCATGTTGATATGGTTTTTACACATATAAATTTATTGCAAATAATTTAAAATACTCTAAGTTTTTCTTGGATGCATTTAACAATCTAAAAATTCATTTGTGAAATAAATCGTATTACATCCGGTACAATATAATTTTAATTGCATCATCATAAGTGTTTTGTGCATTTTAAATTATGTACTTCAAATCATAAAATTACATTTAAGAAAAAAACTCTCTGATTATAGTGTCAACATAATTGTTTATATAAAGTTGAAGGTATACATAATACATGTGCAAGTTTGATAAGTCCCCTAAATAATAGGAGTTGTATTTTAGTTGAGTAGTACTTCTATTTTACTACAATTATATGTTGGCAATTAAGGGGAAGGTTAATATTGGACACTAAGATTTCTAATGGCCCGAACTGGACACCATGGTTATATGTGTATCTCATATTCCACACTACAGTTTTGTAATTCACAGTATTTGGACACTCACTTATGATTCTCTTCATAAGCCTTTTTGTAATATATTTAAGACTTTTTATTCATATGATTTTATGAAACTTTGGGAAATATCGATTTTTTAAATTGATTTAACAATATTAAAGAATTCAATTTCATTATAATAGTTTTTCTTAATTGGAACATCTAATTATATATTCTAAATATGAGAACATGAATTAAGTTAATTTTATTTTTTAGGTACATAAAACCAAGGGAAAAGGGATACTTATTGCTTTCAAATGTGAAATATCTATGGTGGGTGTACAAAAAAACGTTAAATTTGATTCATTTCAAACTTTAATGTCCAATATGAGATACACATGAACCCATAATGTTCAATTTGATTCAATTGAAACCTTAATGTCCAATATGAGATTCTCATATAACCGTAGTGTTCAATTTGACTCTTATCCCATAAAAATTTAGAAGAAGGTAAAAACCAAAAAATATTTTTTTTACTTTATATATTCAATATTTGTATCATATGAAAGAAAAAAAAAGTTGTGATTTTAATATATTTTTTGTAACAGTCGAAGTACAAATAAAAGGTATATCACTTTAAAACAATAAGTGTTTTTTAAAGTGTTAAATCATTTTTTAACTTTTGTATATTCAATATTGGTGTCATTTGAAAGATAATAAAAAGTTGTGAAATTTGATATATTTTTTATAATGATCGGAATACAAATTAATAAGTTCTAACACATTAGAAAAACATGATATTTTAGTTTGTTGGGTTCTCCTAAATAATACTTACTACGTAATACGAATTGTATTTGACTACAATTATAAGAGGAAGTTATTAATGGGATTCCTATCAATACGGAGCATTATTACCTTCAATTTAGGAGGAAGGTTATTACTACCTAACAATTGGATTCCTATCAATACCGAACATTGGCTTCAATTTAAAAATTGATTTTAAATCAATAATTGTGGGATTGACATGTGTCCAACACTTTCCCTAATTGTAACCTCCAAATGTATTATCTATAGATACTTTGCTCAAGAGTATTGAGAAAAATTAAAAACTTCAAACTTCTGCATCAATGAATGCTTTATTAGAAGGGCGTTTTGCAAGAGGCCATTGTTGAAACAATGTCCTCTTGCTTTATTATTAGGCCTGGACTCGGGCCGGGCGGCCCGACCCGGAACCGGCCCGGCCCGGCCACTGTAGCAACCGGCCCGGCCCGGTGGCCCGGTCCACCGGCGGTTCGGGTCGAACCGGCCCGGTGGTTCCCGGTTCCGGGCCCGGGCCTTCCAAATGGTGAACCGGCCCGGCCTGTTCGGGCCCGGTCCGGGCCGGATTTTAAATTTTTTTTTTTTTTGAAAATTTTTTAAAGTTTTGGGTTGGAATAGGTATTTTGGGCCATTTGAGGTGGTTTGGGGTGGTTTGGGGTTGAGGGGGAGGGGTAGGGGATTAAATAGGAGAACAAAAAAAAAAATTAAGTGGGCCGGTTCGGCCCGGCCCGGCCCGGTTTGGCCCGGAACCGGGACCGGAACCGGCCACCGGCGGTTCGGGCCCGGGCCTCCCATTTCCTGGCCCAGGCCCGAACCGGGCCCGAACCGGCCCGAGTCCAGGCCTAGCATCAATGATACTTTGCCCTCTTATTAGCTAAGCTAATAAAGTCTTCCGTTTGTAGTAACAAACTAGACCTGTACAAAATCGGACCAACCCGCCCGGCCCGCTCGCACAAATTAGCGGGCTTGGGCATATATATTTACCCACTGGCCCGGCCCGTGCCCGGCCCGCAACAACATATGGGCGGGCTTGGGTTAGGGTGTAGGCCCGTTCGGGCCGATAAGCCCGGCCTGCTACATTTAGTATATATACATATATATTTTTATATATACTAGTTTATGTATTTATTTACATGTACACATGTATATTTTTATATTTACTAATTTATCTGTATACATATTTATAGTTTATTATGTTTAAATTTAAGTTTTTAGTTCTTAACAAATAGTCCAACCAATATAATATCTATTTTTGTACTTAACGATAATACTTTGTGCATGAATATTAAATTTTAGATATAGTTTCTCATTATTATTTTTGTGTAAATATTTTTTGTGTATGTGATGAAAGGCCTATATACATTATAAGCGTATTAGCAATTTTTTAAATGTTGTAATATTATTTATAAAGTATTAAATAAATTATATAATTTTGAAAAATTTAAAGTCTTCCCGGGCCCGGCGGCCCGGTGGACTACCCGGCCTGCTCTTACGGGCGGGTATGGACATGGGGTTAGGCCCGTTTTTGCGGGCCGGGCCGGGCCCGCCCACACACGATGGGCAGAAAACTTATGAAAAGCCCGGCCCGAACCCGCTTTTGTGCAGGTCTATAACAAACCTCCCTACAAGTCTACAACTAACATAGCTATAATCATAACTTTTAAAACTAAATACCCGTAGTATATGACTTTTAATTCACACACGCTTAACAGAAACTACCACTACAATTTCCTGTGGTTTAACCGAAACTATTGGTGTCTTGCCAGAACTACACAAGCAAGAAAATCATTCTATATTGTTTAGTCTCATTCATACTTTGAAATTCATTGTAAACAGAAGATCAGATGTTCCGGAACCTCAATTGTGGAACAATACAACAAAAAATAGAACTAAGAAAATTGCGAAATTAGAAAACTATATATCATTCAAAAACTTAATTACACAGTAACACAATTAAAATATACATGGGATGAATCAGCTGATTGTACTGAAATTTGTGAAGTTCTGGCTGAAGTGACTGAATTGCTAATTCTGATGAATTATGAAAAATTATATTTAAATTATATTTTATTAATACAATAAAGAAAAAATTACATACAAAATAGCTAAAATGGTCCTACTGTAATTTCAACCAATTCAACCAGAAATGTAACTTCATCCTTACTTATCTTAATTATTACGCAACTCAACGTGCAAAATAAAAAATTAGCTTAACAAATACTTCGTAATTCATAAAAAATTTGTATTTACATATATACATACACTAAATAAATTGATCTTTTTGTACATACTTCCATTAATTGGCAACTTATGTTACATATTCACCCTCCCTCTCTTATTCTTTTTGTTAGGGTGAACAAAAGAAAGAAAATCGGAACGGATCAACAAACTGACCGAAACCAAACTGACTTGAATTTAACGAAATGAAATTGAAACTGATCGAAACTAACTAATCCAGTGGCGGTTCGGTTCACGATTTGTACATTTAGATTAAAACTCCAACTAAACTGAAACAGATTGATATAAATAGGCCGAAATGTGCCAAAACCGAACGAAACCAATACAAATCAATCAAAACCGACCAAAATTGTGCTCTTGAGTTCTCGATTTCATCTATTCTACGGTGGAAGCAATCTTTCCTGCAAACTTGGTCATGTAATTTTTGCAAGCAGTTCGGCCAACCTCACAAGGCTCTCACTTGAGACGGTCCTCTTGTCCCAGCCAGCTGACCAAATGCACACAGAAGGGGAAATCATGAACAATCTTTTTCTTCATTCCCACACCATACATTCTGATTGTTGGGTCATAACACCACGACACTACATTGACTTTGGGTATTGCTTGTTCTTAATATCACATTAAAACCTTTCTCATCTTTTCCCCATTAGGACTTCTTCACAAATCTTTAGTATGTAGTAACAAGCCTCCCTACCACTGACATAGCTATAATCATAACTTTTAAAACTAAATATATGACTTTTAGCTCACATGCGCTTAATCGAAACTGCCACTACAATTTCATGTGGTTTAACCGAAAATATTGATGTCTTACCAGAATTACACAAGCAAGAAAACAATCCTATATTGTTTAGTCTCATACATACTTTGAAATTCATTGTAAACAGAAGATCAGATGTTCCACAACCTAAATTGTAGCACAATAGAACAAAAAATAGAACTAAGAAAATTGTAGAATCAGAAAACTAGATATTATTCAGAAACTTAATTAACACAATTAAGATACATTGGCTGAATCAGCTGGTTCAACAGAAATTTATGAAGTTCTGGCTGAAGAGGCTGAATCGATAATTTTTCTAAATTATGAAAAATTATATTTAGAATATATTTTATTAATAAAATAAAAAATCATATAAAGAATAGCTAAAATGGTCCTCTACAGTAATTTCTACCAATTCAACTAGAAATCTAACTTCAACCTTACTTATATTATTGATTATAACGCAACTCAGCGCGCAAAATAAAAAATTGTGCATTTGGTGAAAAAGTTGGTTGATAGGACTCATAAGTCGAAAAAGAGGGCGACCAAACGGGCTAGCTTTACAAATATTTCGTAAAATACTTGTATTTACATACACTAAATAAATTGATTTTCTTTTTGTACATATGTTGAGGTTTATTACTTCAACCCTCGGGTCCAACACGTAAGCCCAAGAGTTTCGAGTGGAGTGTGTATGAATAACTAGCCCAACTAACAAGTGAGATGGATTAAGAAACAATAAGTAGCAAGTAAGTGATTAGGTATTATTAATCTGTTAATAACTCCCCAATACAATACTTTTCGCTAAAGGCTCGTCGGTCGTTCGTCTTACAAGGCAGTAGAAGAGTTGCGAGTAAGGAGGCTATAAGCTAGAGTGCTAAGAATAGAAAGTTGCTTACCCCTTACAATGAAATAAATGCTTCTATTTATACCACCAATGGGCAGTTGGCTATGCTGACGTGGAGGACTACGAGTGGGTGGAGTCCCAACCACCAAATCTCCAGCATTAAATGCGCTTTCCGCCAGAATTTGGGTTTCCCGCCTAATTCGTGACAACGTTCGTCCAGTTGGATCTGGGGTTGCCCTCAGTGAAACAACAAAGGGTTGTGGGCCGTTCGTTTACGGCCCTTCTTGGTAGAATCCATCTTGGCGCTGGGGTTGGGCCATCTGCTAAGATGGGTCTTGGGTGGCGACGTTCGTCACCCCTGGTATTAGATGACCTTCAGCCTGGGCTCTCCGTTGCTAGGCCATGGGCTCTCCGGGAGAAGACGTTCATCTCCTGTTCTCCTAGGCTGTACTCCTCCGGGGCCCAAGACGTTCGTCTACTTAGGGGGAATGGGTCGAACCCCTGTTTGGGCCATTTACTCAACACAAGTCCCCCACTTCTGATGTTCCAAGCGTGCATGGGACATAAGGAAGTATGATGAGCTTGATGAAGACGTTCCTCTTCTGTTACTTGTGCTATGTGTGTCCTTGGAAACGGACGTACCTGATCAGGAGCCCTTCCATGGTTGATGATTGTGGGCGAATCGAGGTGACAACTGGCGGCGAAACGGTGCGACTTTCGATGAATAGCCATCATTGCGCGTATCGTTTCCCCAGACAGAGTTCTTGCTGGGGTACGCTCCTCGCCACACGTCACCCTCTCATTGGTTTTCTCCCCGGTGCTTCCCCTATAAATACCGGAACTCCCCTGATGCCTAGGGTTTCCGATTTTCTGGCTTTTGATCTCAAGTTCTCTTGCTGCCCTTCGAGTTTCCTCATTGCTTCCAAGTTCGGCTAATCTTTTTGTAAGGTAATTTCCACTTCTTCTTTCCGCTTAGAACTCTTGCAATGCTGACCTCGATGGAGATTTCGTCGAGTTCTAGCTCCAGTTCGTCGAGCTCCGGTTCAGGTTCTTCTTCTGATTCCGGTTCGCGCTCCTCTGGAAAGGCCAGCGCCTCCGACAACTCTGGTTCGGCCTCTACTGTGGGGACTATTCAAGCTGACGATGTTCGCGACGAGGTTTCTTCCCCGGGAGCGAGGGATGCGAGTGCCACCCACAGCGACACGCCTAGGGGAGCGGGGGCGGTGCTGAGGATGGGGGTGATGACATGGAGGTTATTGTCGCAATCCCCTTGAACAAACGTCCTGTCGGTTACAATTCCGGGAATGAGGCTGAATCCGGTTCCGATATGGAGGTGCATGAGAGGGGAATCCCCATCGATGTGGAGCGGCATATTTGCCCCATCAAAAGCGCCCTTGACCACGTACAGGTCCTTTCCAGTGTTGCCCTGAACAAGATCTAGTTCTTTTCCCCGCCGTTCGTCTATAGCCTGAGAGGCGCTGAGCATGTGATGAGGAGACGGCCGAGGATGATTATGTTACACTTGGATTCCGTCGAAGCCGGGCTGCGATTCCCCCTTCATCCCTTCTATGTGGAGTTCTTCCACTGCTTCCAGGTGGCCCCGGCACAATTTATGCCCAACTCCTATAGGTTCATATCGGCCTTCCTTGTACGCTGTACATCTGCGGGAGCCACCATCACTCTGGACTTGTTCCATTATTTTTATCGGGTCACTCCTCAGAACGCCGATGGTTATTTGAGTGTAGCCGCACGTCCGGGGAGGAGGTTGTTCAAAGATTATCCCACCTCCATTCATGACTGGAAAAATCGGGTTTTCTTCCTTCGGCATGACGACCCCCAACTTCCGATTCGCTGGAATGGCTATCCCCCGAAAATCGAGTCGCCGGAGTTGACTGACGAGCTGGAAGAGGATGTCCAAAAAGTGTTGGCGGGCGGCATTCGCCCCATAGCTGGTTATCTGACCTTTGAGGCACTTTCCGGAGCAGACAAAGGTACCGCCCGTGTCTCTGGACTTCCCCTCCCTTCGACGCTCGTCTCGGGGCATCGGGCGGTCCTGTCCTCTAAGGTGAGTGTCTTCGGATTTGTTCTCTGTTCGTCTTTTAACTCTTGCTTTTATTTCCTCCAGGTTCCCCACCAGATCGAACACAAATGAATCACGCTCATATGCTCCGGAACCGGAAAGCCAAGGGGGCTGCTGCTCAGGCAGCGGCGGCCAGAGCCAAGAATGCCCCTGCTTTGGATTCTAACTCTTCGGCCTCCGAGGCCGCCCGGCGAACGGCCGAAGGTGAGCAACATCTAATTGCCACTGTGCTTGGCTAGGGGACTGAAACCCCGCAGACTGAAGCCGTTCTTCCTCCGCCGGTCGTCCCTACGAAAATGGTTTCTCAAAAAGGGGCGGCGAAGGCCCTGGAGAAGAAGCAGAAGAGGGGCCGCGATGCGGGTTCCGCCGGCCCTCTGCTCGACGACGCCGGCTCTTTGCCCCTGAGCCGTCCGGCGGAGGATCTCTGGAGGGAGCTGGCCCTCAAAGCCGGCCTTGAGCTGCTTCCGCGTTCGTCTTCCGAGGCAACTAGCGCTGCTTTAGCAGTCGCCATTCAGGTATTTCCACAACACTGGATCTGGGTATACCTTTCTCTCGATATTCACCTTCTGACCGTATGTTCTCTTTTTTCTTCCCTTGTCCAGTCTGGGCTACTAGTTCTGCAAGTCGAGGCTGCCAGGGAGGCCGACCTGAAGGAGGCCAAGAAGAAGGCCGACCTGAAGGAGGCCAAGAAGAAGGCCGACGCCAACCTGGCCAAGGCTCGGGAAGCCGCTCGTAGTGCCGAGGAGAAGGCCGCGGCCAAGGAGAGGGAGCTCCAGTCCCTGCGGGCCGAATCCCACAGCCAGCTGGCCAGTCTCGAGAAGGCCGGCTTCAAGCTTGCGCCGGTGCTCCCCGCTGAGAAGGACGCAGCCCCGGAGTGGCTAGTCGATACCTCCGGCTAAAAGAACACTGGGGAGTTCATGGATTCTGCCAAGAATTACTGCGCCGGGGCCTTCAGCGATGTGTTCTCGGCCGCTTTGGCGAGGATACCGCCCAAGCAGCGCCTGACGTGCGGCGTCCGGATGCTGGAGAGCTCCCCCTATCCTATAAGTTCCTCTATGAGGTCGGCGACAGCACCTTCGCCGCTGGGTATAATGAGGGGGTTAAGGCCACTCTCCCCATCTTTGCCAAACTGCAGGGGGCCGATTTTGATCTGGCCGCATACACGGACGACGACCTGTTGATCCAAGCCCTAGGGAGTTGGGGAGGGATCGGCGTCGGGAAGAGGCCAAGGCCAGAGGAGAAGTTCTGGAGCCCCCGACCCCCGAGCCTGTGCTTGAAGAGGAGGAAACGGCTTGTGGTGACAGTCGGCCGGAGTCTCCCTTCTTCTGCTGACGTATTTACTGTCCTTCTTTTACTTTTGAATAGTAGGAGTTGTAATTTCCAGCCGTTAGTGCTGAAGAATAAAATTCTCTTTTTGCCCAATGAGTGTTGCATGTTCGTCTTCCTTTCCTTTCATCCATTTTTTTTTTTGCATTTTGTTTTCACAAGTGTTACCGCCGAGCATAGCTATCCTTGTGCAGTACATCTCCGAGTGTTATCGTCGTGCGTAGTCATTCCTAGACAGCGAATCCCCAAGTATTGTCGTCGTGCGCAATTGTCCGATGATCGCCTCCTAGGCATGCGTTTACGAACGTGAATTGGTAAGGATGCATTAGGCACATGAGAACTTCGGTTCCATGCCATATGGCCGATCGTCCATAAATGAGGATGTGTAATATGCGGAGTACCGGTCTACGAACATATACTACACATTTTAACATGCGTGGGAACCTCGGGGGTTGTGGCCTTCTAGGACCCTTGATCATAGTGTTTGGACACTGTTTGGCACTGTTTTGCACTGTTTTGTTTGCCAAAAAGGAAAGTGTGTCTTTTATATTGGGACGAAGGGAGTATGTCAAGTGAGCTCCAATCCGACCATAATAGCTTCCTTTCTTCTCTTCTAATTTCCAATAAACTAATTCACTAATACACAAAAATATATAAATACTATGATCTGGTGCTAGTATAACAGTGCGTAGTATATACATGTAATCTACATGTATATACTACGCACTGTTATACTAGCACCAGATCATACTATTTACATATTTGTGTGTATTACATGTATATACTACGCACTGTTATACTAGCACCAGATCATAGTATTTATATACATAGTAGTATATACATGTAGATTACATGTATATACTACGCACTGTTATACTAGCACCAGATCATAGTATTTATATATTTGTGTGTATTAGTGAATTAGTTCATTGGAAATTAGAAGAGAAGAAAGGAAGCTATTATGGTCGGATTGGAGCTCACTTGACATATTATATTTATACATGCATATATATAATAGAGTTTTTCCATCTAGCCTGCAGGTCTAAATTTTAATAAGAGATATGAGTGTATTTTATTTTAATAGCTTTCCTTAATTACATACTCGTATTTCATACGTATATGGCATCTAAATTTTCCGTTGGGATCTGTTCAGTGGCTAGACTTTCTATAAATAACACACGTACGTATGCGTGCGAATAGATATAAGAAAATTTACTCATGATATCTATTGTTTTAATAGTAAAGCTCAGTTTTAAAGATCAGTTTTAATCGCAATGCTACCGCAATTCAATGAAAAATCATGATATAGACTAAAGAGTAAATATATAATATATGATGATGGATAAATTAATATATAGTCATTAAATAAATAAAAATTTATTATAGTTTGTGGTTAGATCATAGTAAATATGCATTTATGAAGTATTAAAATTTGTATCCTTCACAATATCTATTACGTGATACGTAGTACTATTTTTCATTTTAACTCATACCAAATTGAGTCGCCGCTACCGGGGCATTGCCCCGGGGTTTACACTAGTATTCTCGTAATCTCGTATTCTAACCTTTATCACTATACCTTCTTCTCATGTTTGCAATTCTAACTCTAAGTTAAGGTTGGCTTGGATTACTTATGACGGAAAGTTTCGGAATTCCAAAATTGCACTATTTTGATATCCCAAAACGTATTTTCTCCTGTTTATACAATACGGTTTCCCTTATTTACAAATGACTTTGTTTTGCTGATTCACTTATACTGTTATACATAAGAGAAAAATTGTTCAAACTAATCATTTGAGAGTTAAGATATTTTTATTTAGACTGTTTTCAATCCTAGACTAAACTTGACCAGACCAAACTTCTGTAGTTATAAAATAAAATACATAAAGAACAAACATTTACCAAAGTAGACTAGTTTAGACCACACCAGATCAAACACATGGATGATCCTATATTTGAAAGAATGCTATATTTTGATCCTATTTGGATAAATTGATCTCTCTATACATATAATTATTAATGATTTTTTTTATTACTCCAGGAGGCGTCTGGGGAGGGGGCTGGGGGAGCCTGGAGTAATCTAGGTTGAAATTCACTCCATTGAGTTTCGGATCCGAGACCTCCCGTAAGGGAGAGTGAGTCGACGACCAATTGGGCTGGATCCCTTCCTCATTTATTAATGATGTTAGCGGATTGACGGGAGGTTGAATTGTATTAATGATTACTAGCTAGCTAGAAGTTTAGAACAATAAACTTATTTATTTACTTATTCATTCATTCATTTCACGGAAGTATTTATTTATTTATTTAGTTATTTATTTATTTAGTTATTTATTTATTTATTTATTTATTTATTTATTTATTTAATTATTTATTTATTTATTTATTTATTTGTTTGTTTGTTTGTTTGTTTGTTTGTTTGTCATCAAAGTCTACTAGGCTAGACTTTTGCTACAATAATACCACAAAATGAAATGGTAGAAATTGTAAAGAGAGGTGTGATGGACATGTGGGATTTGTTGAGGGCAGGGCGAATTTGATTAGTGTAATACTGTAATTTGTCCATACAAAAAGTAGGGGTGTTTGTTGATTCCATTTCATGGATTTCAATTTTATCGTTTCAATTTTAGCCAGTTAGGTTAAATTCTAAAATAGATAAAATTGAGAACTGAGTAGTACAACTTGAGCCGGTTTTGATTGATTTATGTTGGTTTCGGTCGGTTTGAGCACAGTTTGGTCTATTTCTATCGGTCGTTTCAGTTTTGTTGGTGTATTAATCTAAATGTACAAATTGTGCACTGAACCGCCACTGGATTAGTCAGTTTCGACCGGTTTCAGATTCATTTGGTTAAATTTTGATCAGTTCGGTTTCGGTCAGTTTGTTGATCAGTTTCATTTTTTTTGTTCACCCCTAAAAAAAAGAATCAGAGAGGACGAATTATGTAACTATAACTAACATAAGTTGCCGATGTAAGTATGTTGTTGGGTAAATGGCCCAAACAGGGGTTCGGCCCATTCCCCCTAAGTAGACGAACGTCTTGGGCCCCGGAGGAGTACAGCCTAGGAGAACAGGAGATGAACGTCTTCTCCTGGAGAGCCCATGGCCTAGCAACGGAGAGCCCAGGCCGAAGGTCATCTAATACCAGGGGCGACGAACGTCGCCACCCAAGACCCATCTTAGCAAATGGCCCAACCCCAGCGCCAAGATGGATTCTACCAAGGGCCGTAGACGAACGGCCCACAACCCTTTGCTGTTTCACTGAGGGCAACCCCAGATCCAACTGGACGAACGTTGTCACGAATTAGGCGGGAAACCTAGATTCTGGCGGGAAGCGCATTTAATGCTGGAGATTTGGTGGTTGGGACTCCACCCACTCGTAGTCCTCCACGTCAGCATAGCCAACTGCCCATTGGTGGTATAAACAGAAGCATTTATTTCATTGTAAGGGGTTAGCAACTTTCTATTCTTAGCACTCTAGCTTATATCCTCCTTACTCGCAGCTCTTCTACTGCCTTGTAAGACGAACGGCCGACGAGCCTTTAGCGAAAAGTATTGTATTGGGGAGTTATTAACAGCCACTGCTGTTCACAAACCTTATAATAATCGCCATCTGCTCCTGTTTAGATATATCTTGTGCTTCATCAACAAGAATGCAGAAACAACTATTTGAAATTTCTTCACGAACCATTTGACGAACTCTATTCGCCATTATATTCAAGATCTCTTTTTGAATCTCAGGAGCAATGTATTGAGCATTTTTTGGAGCATTCTCAAGTACAACTTCTTGAACTTTGGTATTCATACTTGCAAAAGCTTTTACTAGTTCAATAAAGTTTCCCCGGTTTGATGATGTTAGAGATTCATCATGACCTCTAAAGGCACAACCTTGAAGCGCTAACCATCGAACAGTAATAATAGAAGTTCTCAACCGCAAATGATTTTTCTGCTTTTCTTGTTGCGATTGAGTGTGCAAAACATTCTTAATATGACCAGATGGTTGCCTCAAATTTTCAGCTCTTTCAACACACATCACATGAGACGATTTTTCTTTAGTACCAACGTGCTGAAGAAATGCACATTGACTTCCTTGATTTATCCTCTTCCAACTTTGAAATCCATCCTTAACTAATGCAAAAGTAGTATGCATATGAATGTCACTCAAGAAAAGGAAGCAGAAAAAACAGTAAGCTTTATCAGTCACAGATGAATACTCTAACCAATTAAACTTGTCAAACCAGTGTTTCTGAAAACTTCGTTTTTTAGCTCCAATCTTTTCAAATGGATAAGCTTCCATTCTCGGTTGATAAGGCCCAACATTTAGATATGCACGTCTCACTTCATCTCGTACATTGACATGATATTCATGAATTTGCTTTCTTTTTCCCGGGTCTCTCTCAATAGAAAAAGATGGAGGCAACTCCAAATTTGAGATAGTTTGGATTTCAGGGACTTGAGCATATGGAGGAACCTCATTGAGTGGATCTTGCACTATTGTAGGTATAGGTTCAGAACTTCCTTCACCAGCTTGACGATTCACTTTTGGAAAGAATGATGAAATCAACACCTTTCCTTTCTTGGCAATGTGTTCGTTATCCATTCTAAAAAAACATTTGTATAAATTAAAATACTTTTATAAAAAAATATAACTAATAAGGAAAAACAATCGTTGTGCATAAAACTAATAAGTATTATCAATTTTCAATTGCATAGTAAGTAGTAACTAAATCATTTTCTACAATTTAATTCTATCTTTAATCATTAAAATTATAATGAATTAAACACTACTCCGTATGTAATTATGTACTGAAAAATTCTATTAAAAATCAAAATGATTTCCTAACCCTAAAACTAAAAATGCTAAAAATATATTAATACAAAACTCTTCATTATAATACGGTTATAGACTTATATGGTAGAACACATAACACATTCATAATTCTTTAATTCACAATACAATCTAACATTTAACACCAAAAGACCAAGTCAATCAAACTAATAAATTAAAAATCTAAAAGATAAGTACAATTTGGACTTTGGAGTACCTGGAGGCCGGCTGGAGTCCTGGAGGGAGGCAAAGGAGGACTGCCTGAGTCCAGATAAGAAGCAGGGACGACGGAGTGGCGGACGACGCAGGTGGGCGGGCGGCGGCGCGGCTGGTGTTCAATTCTTCCTCGCAGGTTCAAGCTTCGATTTTCCCTCTTTGCACATCGTTCGCTCCTTCAAAGCTCAATGCTCCGCGGAAGTCGGAAGGCCGAGAAGTGGACAACGATTAAAAGACCAGGTTTGTTTATTGGGCGCCTGGGCTGGGAATTAAATCTGGGGCTGGGCTGAGAAATAATTTGGGGATGGGCTGACAATATAACATAACCCTGCCCTAACAGTGGTCCGCCCCTGGATCTACCTCTTCACCGATCGATCTATAGCATAGGTTCAATTCATGGATATTGTGAAAAGCATTGGGACCTATTGCATGAAAATTAAGAACAGTATTTCCCCTCCACCCCCTCCTAAACCCAACGAGGCAAACCTCACTTTCATGACTTGTCTCTTGAAAGTAGACATCAAATCTCCAGGGTGGCAGAAGGCAATCATGGCTATCTTAAGAAGCAATAAGGGTATGCATCGTCAATCTCTAGCCTTTTTTCTTAATTATATACACATACTTCGGTATATAATACGAAGTAGTGTTCATTAGTATATATATATATATATGATCGAACTATTAGTTCATAAACATCTAATATAAGCTTGAGAAATTTTACTTTTTGATAATCTACCGGTTGCAACTAGCTAATTAATCCTATGTACGTTGTTGATAGTAATGATAGAATAAAAAAGGGATAAGGGTCAGATAGGGTCTCGAACTTCGAAAAAAATGTCAAATAAGGCCATATTTAGGCTGCTATGTCCGGCTAACGCCATTTGGGGCGGTTCCCGGTTGAATTTTTTGATGAATTTTTTTTAGAATCTTATTCATTAAGTCTAGTTTACTCATATCAAATTTGAACTACCAATTCAATCGGGAAGGCATTTAAATGAATTCTTGAAGATAATTGCGCTTTTAACTGCACAGTTATCTTCAAGAATTCATTTGAATGCCTTCCTGATTGAAGTTTTAGTTCAAATTTGATATGAGTAAACTAGACTTAATAAATAAGATTCTCAAAAAAATTCATCAAAAAATTCCATCGGGAACCGCCCCAAATGGCGTCGGCCGGACAGAACATCCTAAATATGGCCTTATTTGACATTTTTTTCAAGTTCGAGACCCTATCTGACCCTTATCCCAATAAAAAAAATTGGATCATAAGCTTTATTTTTCGACCTAAAACAAAGTTGATGACATTACCTTTGTCCCGAATTGATATGCAAGTTTGACTTTTTTGGTCAAACAATTTAATGTTATTCACTTAATTAGGATGTCAATTTTTAATTATATCGTAATTTGAAGTTTGTAACTTTGATTAGATTTTAATGTAGTTTCTGAATATGTAGATTTTAATTATTAAAAATTGAATTATTGTCAATAGCGAAGATTTAACTTTAACGTTGGTTAACAAAAAAGTGTTGACTTTGCAAATCAATTTGGAACGGAAAGAGTATGAATGTTACTGTTTATACGCATATATACTATACATAGTACGATAATATATACTTTTTGTGTTAGTTTGGAGGAAGTCTTTTTGTGTTAGTATATACATAGTACGATAGTATATACTTTTTGTGTTAATTGGGAGGGGATGGGGAGTCTGGAGTAACCAGCGTTGAAACTTATTTCATTGAATTTCTAACCCTTATGTGCCTAACGAGTTTCGAACTCAAGACATGATAACCTCACAACTAGCTAAATAGTTTTTTTCCAGGTAGCTATATACTGGTACGGAGTATAAAAATTTTTAAATCTTGGCTTCAGTTATAACTTTTTTTCAGCTGAGGTCCCCCTAGTATTCCGTCAGTGGCCGCTATACAGTATAGTACTTCCTTCGCCGCTTAAAACTTTATCATTTTAAAACTTTGGCGAGATGTTGTTTCTTAATATAAATTGTATTACGCAGTTCATTCATTCATTTTCATTTACCCCAGTGCCGCAAAGGCTCTCACCTACGGTGGGGTAAGGGGGTCAGATGTACGCAGTCTTACCCCTGTACTAAAGCACAGAGAGACTGTTTCCGGATGACCTATAGTGAAAATCGCGTCCAAAATTGCATGGACTGACTGCAACTTCATAACAAAGAAGCGCAGACAGTTTATTGAGCCATTTTGTTTTATTCCATCATATTCTCAAGCCAAAAAATCATGAATCTTTGGCTCCATTGCAAATTAGTATTACGGAGTATAATATAAATATCATATAGAAATATTCTTTGTTAAATGTATAAAATTTACGGATTATAATATTCATAAAACTAAACTAATTAATCTAAATTATTGTTCAAATGGTTGGCTTGAGAAGTGAAAGATATGAAAGTTAAGAGTATGAATGGATGCAGGAGTGAGAAGCTTCCAGATGAGTCAAAACGGGAAGATAATGGTGACGGGGAAGGGGGATCTGAACCTGCTCCTCAAAATGCTGAAAAAGGCTGAAAAATCAACGGAGCTTGTTTGGGTTCAATCCGGCCTCTGCTCTAGTAACTTGTTCCTCATCAACGGCGGCGGCGACGGCGACGGAAGCTATGTCCAGCAGGGACCACGAGGACCTTTTGGTGCGCAGCCGTGCTACCCGCAACCAGCGAGTCATCACCACTCCTACTATACCAGTATGCTGCCACCGCCGCCTGCTTATCATCATCATGTCCCGCCGCCTGCTTATCATCATCATGTCCCGCCGCCTGCTTATCATCATCATGTCCCGCCGCCTCTCGAACCGGCATTTGGAGTGGATAATATTGATAATGATAGAAGCTGCTACCTTCAACAAGGGGCATTCAGACCGGCCAACAATGTACATTATGATAATCACATTGTAGCAGGATCATATCGGTGAGGCCGGCCGGCCGGCTGGACACCTACCCTGGCTAAAATCATGCTGAAAACCATATTTCATCTATGTATATGGCTCCATTTAAAAGAATTTGAAGCAGTATTTCTTTTCTTTTCCATTTAACTTATCTCCTTTCAAGTATTGTTAGATTTGTACTTTTGCATAACATTACTGAGTATTATGAAATCCGGTATGCTTTGATAATATAATTATCTTATTCATTTATATTTCGTATTTTCTTATCCATGCATGCAAGTATGGTTGTAGTAAAAATTTAAAATATAATAACTCAATCATATTGATTTATTTTTAACTGTGTAGGACTATATTTTAATAACACTCAACATAAATTAGTTTATCAAATTCCAGTTAGAGAATCAATGCAATTTCATATAATCTAATAGCACTCAACATATATATTTTAGCTATATCAATAACTTTTAAAATGTTGTCAGGAGTCACTGGTCCGTATCTTATGTGATATACATGTGTGTGCGTGTATAACTACAAGAATCGGTTTTCGTGTGTTATGTCAAATGGGTGAAGCACAACTATGAAAACAAAGATTGTTATTGTACAAAAAATACTGTGTATAAATATCAATGAGATCATCTATAGATTTAAAAATGCCTAGGAATGTATTTTATAATGAAAACAATTACATGCAATGATACACGCCAGGTGATCTTTACTAGCAGACGGAGTACTTTCCTCTGGGTTCTTTATGTTAGTGGTCACAATCGTGATTCAGCTGTCCATTAAGCGCAAATCGCCTCCAGTGAGCCCGAGATCATAATCGAGCTTCTTGCAGTCAGCACCCAAAGCTGCCTTTCAAAATGCTGCTCAGCTTGTCAATCACCACCGAAGGGTTGGCGTAGGACCCATCCAAAAAAATGGGGTGGTATTCTAGACCCTTCCATTGTGCAATCAGAGCAAAATGGGGACGCCTATACTCACTGCTAATGATCTCCAAAATTACTGTTCGGGGCATCGCGGATATAATGTGGGTCAGCCCTGCGCCATGGGCACCCACAATGACCGAAGCATCTTGTATTGCCCGAACTTGCTCCTTCATTGACATGTGTCCAAACAGCCCATTGACTACATTTACCTTGCAGCTGAAATTGTTTGATGATGATGAAGATGCTACCCAGTTCTTTACAGAATCAAACACATCTTCTTCATTGATAAGCCTTGACTGTACCTTCCCACCATGACGGGGATGGGCAAAATAGTCCTCGCGTCTTACAAAGAGAATATTATGACCTGTAGCCAGCCTTGAAGAGATGTTGTTATTCAGCCTATTCACTGGAAACCGAAAAGCTGCCTTTACCATCTCCCCAAATTCGTGTAGCCGTGCAGTTTTCTTATCATTGGGGTTTTCCCAAAGATCACGGGCCGGGGCTCCTTGACAGTTAATGTTTCCTGACAGACCCTTGAAGAGGGCTGTCTCATACCCCAAAGGTGAGAGGATGACATGGCGGAAGCAAACAGGACCACTGAAGTTTTTTGCGTATCTGATGCTTGAAAACAAGGCTTTCCATGTTTCTTCCAACTGTGTCTGAGAATTTTATTGCAAAGCGGACAGATAATAAGACCATTTGTAGTGGTCATGGATTAGGAGTCAAAAGATTGAAAATGGAATTTTTAGACTCTTAATTTGGTATAGTGGTAGATTAAAAGGGGGAGTAAAAGTGGGAAGGGGAGTGGAAGAGTGTATAAATAGAGGGTTAGGTTGACAGGGTAAAAGAAAAGGAAAAAGAAAAAAAGATGAAAATGCGGCACTCTTCTGCGGTGTTCATGGTTCTGCTGACATCACGCTGATGTCATTAAAATCCCAATTAATTTTAAACTCTTGTAACTTTTTTATTTGTTCTCCTAACTTTTCAAAAATTATATCAAAATTCATGAATTTTATGATCTTTCATATGACACCAATATGTAATATATAAAATGCAAATAAAAAAAATTAACTATTGAAGTTTTCTTGAACCCAAAAAAACACGAAATACAAATTTTTAATTCATTGAGCCTTCACAAATACTACCTGGATATTCCATAATCCAATTTTATTTGAACTGTGTTCATTTTTTGTTAACAAAAAATCATTTAAAAAATTAGTGAAATTTATTTATTTTTACTTCGAAATGTGTATTTTTTATTTCATAATTATCCAGGGAAAAAGTTAAAAGGAAAATATTACTTATATTAATTTAATTAATGTTTTACTAAATTGATATGTAAAAAATATGCAGAGTGTATTTTATTAACGGTGCACGGATGCAGGGAAAAACAGTATTGACGGAGTCTAAACACTGTTTTCATATGGACGGAGTCCAAATTTAACAATTTGGACTCTTGACCACTACAAATGGTCTAAGAGACCAAACCATGCCCAGCTGTCTGGGAGAAAATATCAGTAGAGAGAGAACTGTGAATCTGACTCCTCTCCAGCTGGAGAGAAAGAGAGACAAAATGAAGAGAGGACATAGAGAGGAGCTTAGCTCCCCTGGCTCCAATGTAAATACAATACTCCTTAGTCCTTACTCAAGCATGAGTTGTGTGGGAAAGACTGTGGAAAGACAAATTTCATAAGGCTGCCTACTATATTTCCACCACCCCATGGCCCGACAACACTGCCCCAAAGAGTCAAAATAATTAAATCTTCAGCAATATTTGGTATGCTACATAAGTATGTTCCAAAAAAAGAGTCATTTTTTAGCAATGTACTACGTATATTTTTTGCAACATACAGGAGATCGGTCCTACACTCCTACTTATGTTTTATAAGTTTATATATCTTTTACTCAACTTATCATAGGTATCTTCTTCGTGACTCTTTTTAAGGAAATTACTCATAAATATAAATGCTTTACTTGAAACTAGGATTTCTGTATAGAAAAGGGGTGGAGGGGTATTGATCATAACTTAACAGCAGGGCGTAACATTCATAGATTCACTTATAATATGGAGACATACCTGACAATGGCCATCCACAAAGACCAAATGAGGCCGAGTTGGTAAGCCGGTCACTCTAGAAGCCACATATGCACTGTACCAATCTGTGAAAGTGTGAAAAAGGTTTGCATACTCGAAGCGTGTCACGAGAAGTGTTGGCTCTTCAATCCACTGAAATAAGTACAGTTTTCCCAGAAAATGTAAAACACATCTAGAAGAGGATATGAATAATTAGAAAAATAAGAATAGAATGTGTAGGAGTCAATTGTTTAGCTCACTGCTCACCAAGTGCAATTCTTGTACTCCATTCCTAATACTTAGCAACAAACTTTGTGTTCTAAATGCTATCCATCTTCAATATCATCTTCCTCACATATCTTTCTTAACCCAGTCACACCACAATTTCTTACTCCACCACTACTCTAAAGTCTAAACCATCTATCCAGGAACTCAACCCTTTCCAAATTATTACTCCGTAGTTTTTATTACTTTTGTTGGTTACTAATAACACATATAAAATATTTACAGGAATCATCAGGCCTAGAAGGTAAAGAAGTAAAAACTAGCCCCATCAGGCATAAAATATGGAGACTGATCAGTCCACAGAACAATTCGTGAACTAGCAATGAAGTCAGTTTTGCACAGCAAATTTCTACGGACATATCCAGGAGTGACCCCTAAGCAATTATCCATAAGAAACTCTCTCAATATCTTATTAAACTAATGCAAGTACCCTCAGGGTCTGTTACTCTATTTTGGAACCTACCTCTTTTGAGGCATGAACATGAAATCACAGTACTGCTAGATTTAGATAATCTCACCAAAAATGCTAAAGGTAAAAACTTGGAATAGATATATAAAGAAAAGATTAAAAAAACTGAAATCCTGATATTAACCTCAGTGCATTGGAAGTCATCTTCAGAAACCAACTGAATTGAATCGATCAACGAACGCATAGTGTGTTTCCCAATGGAACCTTGGGGCACATAACGATTCAAAAAAACGTAATCCACGAGTTTCTTCCCCGACTTGGATGGATCAGCCACATAGATATCAAAGGCTCCAGATTCGAACACTGGCATTTCCTCGTCCTCCCCCCTTCCCATCACCGTCTCCAATTTCTCACCTCCTTTTGACATCCTAATCTTGTCAGGACTCATCCTCACTCTCCCTCCCTCGCATATAGAGCTCTGCAGCGTCTCGCTGTGGAAACATCCGAACCAACCACCCGCGGATGGCCCAAGAAGGTCAACGCGGCGCGTGAAGCCGTTTCCGAAGTACGCTTCGCAGGATCGGGGAGCGGCATCGGGTTTCTGAGACCAGGGGAGGTAGGATGGCAGTATTGGCCAGGGTTTGGTTCGCAATGAAGAGGAGTGAGGGTAGTTCCCGAATGATGAAAAACGGTTTTCCGAGGAATGAAGGTGGTGGTTCGGCGGCGATTTGTGGCGGAAATGGTTGGTGCTGGAGGATAAGTAGAGGTAAAGAGTGATTGAATTCAAAGCGAAGAGAGAGAGAAGGATTTTAAGCTTAAACCTGTTTATCATCTCTTCTCTCTCTCTCAGAACAATTGACAGCTCAAGTCCGGAAAAGATTGAAGAAAAAGATAGTGGGTCGGGTTGCCAACTCGCCCCGGGATGGCTTTGTGCCTTTGTAAAAAAAAAAAAAAAAAAAAAAAAAAAAAGATAGTGGGTCGGGTTGCCAACTCGCCCCGGGGATGGTTTTTTTTTTTTGTGCCTTTGTAAATTGTACGGAGTAAGATTTGTTGGTCTGGTCTGGTCTGGTCTGATCTGGTCTGGTCTGAACTGGTCTGGTTTGGTCTGGTAAGGTCTGGTTTCTTTGTATTTTTATAACTATCCAAGTCTGGTCTGGTCTGGTCTGAACTGGTCTGGTCTGGTCTGGACTGGTCTGGTCTGGTCTGGGACAAATTACAGTCCAAGTAAAAACATCCTAAGTTGTAAGGGTCTGTTTGCAATAGCTTCTGCTTTTAAAATAGTGCTTTTTTTAATGAAATGGGGAGAAGTGATTAAATAAAAATTGATAGTGTTTGAAAAAAAAGTGATTTTGAAAAGTAAAAGTGGGTAGTGTTTGGTAAAATAAGTGCTTTTTGTGTAATAGAAAAAGTAAATGCATTTTTGACGCGGAAGCCGAGAAAAATAAAAGTTGTAGTGTTTAGGAAAATAAGTGCTTTTTTAAAGCCAAAAGCTGATAAGTGCTTTTTTAAAAGCAGTTACAAACAAACCTTAAGTT